CGCGGGCGCCTGGCAGGACCGGGGCAGGCCGTCTGCCCTGACTGAGGGTTGGCCTCGCGGGATCGGATCCCGCAGGACCCTGACGTTCTGCCGGGAATTCCAGGCCTCCGGCAGCCGAGCCCTCCGCTGGTGAGGTGTTAGGAGCGCGGGCTCTGGGCCGCCAGAGCTGGGTCCCGGGTGCGGCCTGGCCGCGGGCCTCGGGCGAGCTGGGCAGTGCCCCCTGTATTGCTGGCCGGGAACCAGGTTTTCGGAAGTGTGGCCCGTCAGTGTTCCTGCCGGGATGTCCGTGCGGCGGCTGGGACGGGGTCTGTATTCGGCTACAGTTACAGGTCCTTCTTGAAACACTTTTTTGTTCTGATGGTTAACTTTTGCCTCAAACCCCTTTGCCCTGTGGCGCTCGCTGGTCATTACGTTTGAGGGAATTCTTGACGGGATTGCAGAACCTCAAACTTCCCGTCCTCGGCCCGCGTAATGTTTGGGGAACTGCTTGCGGGCGGCGCGCTCCTGGCGGCAGAAGGCCGTGAAAAGTGCCGGCAGCTCGGCCTCCCCGGGCGGGCTCCTGGCCCGGCCACCTCGGCACCTGGACCCCGGGCCGAGCCCTGCGGGCGCGGGGACCCTCAGGCTGGCCTTGCCGACTCGGCCCGTGGGCTGGGCAAGGACATCCGTGGTTACCCCACATCCTCACCGCGGACCAGGGGAGGCGAGAGGCCTAGAGCCGGCGGGGTCGGCTTCCCGGGCCCTCATTCCTGGGAGGCGAGGCTAGGACCTCACGCGGACCCTGCCGGTGCCCGCGCTGTGCCCGCGCTGTGCCCAGCGCTCCGCCGCAGCCGGTGGCGACCAGGAAGTGGAGGCGCAGAGAACCTGATAAGCAGCCTGAAAGCGGGGTGGGGTGGGGTGGGGGTCCTGCTGGCGACACCCTCCGGCCCTCCCTGAGCGAGGACAAGCTCGCTGTAATTTTTGAAGCAATTTCCTTTCCTGTGTTAAAGGCTTATCTTTGCAAAGTGCAATTATAACACGACTGTGATGCAACAACCTGCAAGTTCAAACCCTTTGTCAGAGCCTTTCCCGGTTGAGCAATGCGCCTGACTCACCAGCTGAGTGGATATTTCTAGTTGACCTTGCTGTGGTCCAGAGTCAGTTCCCAGACGTGACTGATTGCAGCATGGAGTGGAAAAGGTGCGGTCATATTGCCCAGCCTTTATTTTTAACCGACCTAAAATCACACATACTTCATTATTTCCATTGTAATCCAGATGGCATCGATGCTGTTAAAAGTTGTTTATTTTTAATTTGTATTGAGGAATGAGAGCACACTTGGGATTCAGTTCAAAATATGACAGAAAAAACGTAATCGAAGTTTCCTTTAATATTCGTCTGTTGTTTCTGTAAGGGTGGCCTATGTTTCTCTGGGTTAACACATTGTTTGATATCCTGTTATTTTTCTAAATTATACTTGAGTTGACTTTTATCCAAATCAGACTCACATGTGAGTGTCGAAAGACACTGACCTTGGTCACAGACATTACATAAGAGTTTTTCAGTTTCAAAATGAACTTATATCACCACCACTCCCTATTAGCTCTCAAATTTCTTTGCAAATAACTTTCCTATAGTAAAAAAAGAAAATACTGTTTCTCATATGGCTTTCATTAGAGAGCATAAGCTTGTTTTGTGATAAGAAAGTTTAGTGGGGATTTACTAGATGCCTTTTGTAATGATTTGTGCGGTTTCATTGGAATCAGAATATTTATAAGCCCTTTAGTTGTCAGAACATGGTATCTTTTATTAATTAACTTTTCAGAGATCTCAAACTGCAATTAAGTAGCCTTCCAATAAGCACTAAAAATAAACATTTATAAAAAAATTGTCCTGTTCATAAGGCACATAGTAAAGCAAATGACATTTGTAATCTGCGCACTGGGAAAGTGAAATTAAAAAGGCAATCAGCCCAGCAGGGTGTGGCTCAGCGGTTGAGCATTGACCTAGGATCCAGGAGATCAGAGTTCGATTCCTGATCAGGGCACATGCCCAGGTTGTGGGCTCAATCCCCAGTTGGGGGCGTGCAGGAGGCAGCCGATCAGTGACTCTCATCATTGATGTTTCTGTCTCTCTCTCTCCCTCTCCCTTCCTCTCTCTGAAATCAATAAAGATATATTAAAAAAAACAAAGAGGCAATCAAAGTGAACCTGAGGAGAGTTGCAATGATTCTTCAGTGTAATCACAGACATTCAGGCACTTCCCCCACCCTGCGCCCACACCGGTTCTGCCATCGTTACCTGTGGCGTGCTTCTGGCTGTCCTTTCCCTCGCAGAATGTCCCGTAGCTGGGTTACTTTGTGATTGTTGGTGACCCTTCGGAGTTCAGCTTAGAGTTGCTAGACTGCTAAGTTATCTCTCCAGAGTTACAAGAAAAAGATCCCCATTTTGAAATGACTGCAGATTTTTAAAAAATGCCCCGCTGTTCCACCCCCACGCCCCAATTCCTCTCCGTCTTTGGCGAGGGTGGTTTTGTCTTGATTTCTAAGCCCGCAGTGTCAGCATCTGTGCGCTGCTCTGCGCGGCCTTCACGATATTGTCATCCTGTGCCCGGTGACACACTCTGGCCTCTTCTCTTAAGAAACGTCAAGTTATACTGTTCTATTTCAGTTCCTTCAGTTATTTCACTGCTATAATGAAATGCAATTTTAATCATTTATTAAGTTTAAATCTAATTTTCAAGTGGTCCTTTGTGGAGGTTGCTCGAGAAACTTCCATTCATACTAAACTCCACCAGATTGTGACACATTTATTTACGGATGCACCGAAATAGAAAAAGTAGGTCGATTTGCTCCTGTGATGGGCTAGGCTTTGGCGAAGTGTGAGAGCGTCTGCTTATGTGCGTTCGTATCTGGATCAAGCATGCGCTTCTCACTACAGACAGAATTGTATTATTAATGGGAGGCCCTCATTGGCACTTAGAGAGGTTTAACATAGTTTTTTGTGTTTTTTTTAAATTTAAAAAGCCTTTTATTTTTCAGACTGAGTAGAAAGCCCTCTTCTGTACAACTTCAGTGTTTCCTGGGTGGTTTTGTCCCCGTTCCACTCTTGATTGTACCTGTGTATTTTTTTCCTACTTTATCTGCGTTTAAATACTGGCTTTCATGTTTATCCATGAAAAGAAGTAAAGTGTTTTATTGAAATAGTCCTGTCATGGATTTTACCCACAGGAAGAAAATGTAGGTTAATATTTTACTAGTATTAATAGTTTAATGAGCTGTGAATTGATTAACTCCCCCCCCCCCCAAAA